ATATATATATATATATATATATCAGTTTATGTACTCAACTCTGAATTATTTTTTACAAACTTTTGATAGCAATCATCTGAAAAAGCTATAAAGTTTGGAGAAAAACTGAGGTTGACAGATAATCTGCAATTATTAGCTTATTTGGTTCTCTTTAACTATTATTCTTAATTTTAATTAGGTTTTCCTTAAATTTTACAACCTAAAATTATCTTGCATTTCTTCCATTTCTTCTTCAAGATCTCGTAGTTCTTTCTTCATATCCTCATTTTCGTCCATTAATTCTTCACACAATGTTTCCGCCGCCAAGAGTTTAGATCGTAATTCATCCATTGCTTTCTGAGCAGCTTGGGCCGTTGGTCTTAGCTTTAGCTCCTCTTCCAACTCTTTTACTCTGAAATTTAAACTCCTTCTATCGTCTTTCATATCCTCCAGCTGGCTCTGAAGTTCATTACATTTCTGTTGAAGTTTGAGCACCTACAGAATTACCTAAGTTTTGTTAAACCAAAAAGAAATAGATGTATTCTACGGCTACCTCGCTTGCGGTTGTTTTACTAGTTGATGTTTCCATAGCAGCCAGTCTTCTTAGAAGAAGGTCACTTTTTTCCCTCTCTAACCTTTCACATTTGGTCTTCGTGCTTTCCAGTTCTTGTTTAAGACTTTCAATTTGTTCTTGCAATTCATTGTCTGCACTGTCATTCACTAATGTTGTATCCGTCGTTTCTGTACCTGCATTACTTACAATATCGTCGTCAATATCGTCTTTAATAGATGTTGTTTTAACCTATCAGCAATAAATATGAACTTTACTTTTAACTATCCTTTCTACAAGAACTTTACATTTAAAACGTTAAGACAGTTAATTTTGTCAAAAATTATGTTAAAAAAAGACATTAAGTTAATATTTTAATGTCAGAGGTGTCGCTAGAGATTTTCTGGAATAAAGGGAAGATTACCACTTGTGGAATATAAACATGATGTTTCTTGGTCATTTACAATTTTTTTATTCAGCACACCGGAATTATGTTTAATTAAATGACGGGGAAACAATGAAATGAAATTCAGGAAGTAATAACATTGGAATAATACTTTACAATTGAATATCTTTAAACAAAAGACAGAAAGAAAGAGGGTGGGAAACGAATACGGATTTTGAAAACAAAGGTAATAGAGCACACTGAACAGTACCAAACGTTAACGCTTTGCCTTTTACTTTTCAAAATGATTAAAAACATTAATAATCGAATCTCCGTTCAACGAAAATACATGTTATGCAGTTTTATTTCCATGATTCGTTTTCCTTTTATCAAAACCTTTTATTTAATTTATATAGGCTTATTTTAAACTAAAAATTATTGACAACAATAATTAACTAAATGTAGATCCTCTCCCCTGCCTTCATACTGCCAAACATCCTACATTTTGCTAACTTAACACAAGCTATTTCTTATATTCTATATCTTAGCCTAATTAACTTTTTCTTTCACTGTATTATACTCTTCTTTGTAACTCATTTCATTTCCTTTTCTCCTACTCTTTCATTATCCTAGTAACGACCTCCTATTCCTTAAAATTTCCTTCAGTCAATTCAATTCACCTCCTTCTTCGATTACCAGCTCATAGCATTCTTCCCAAGTTCTACTTTCCTCACATCCTCCCAACATATTTCTTAGATATTCTAGCTCCCTGATGCATATCCTACATCATCTGTCCTTCTTGTTCCAATAACTGCATCACCTACACTCAGTTTCAGTCCTAAATTTTGAAATAATACCTATGTAACGCCTTCTAAATACCTTGGCACCCAATGGTCGTTCCAGTCCTTCTACAAAATCTACTCCAACGCCACCACATATCTTGACTTTTCTATTTTTCTGATAATATTCTCGCTCTCCTTCATCCCCTCACCTGTTGCTAATTGATTTTTAAACTCTACATGGGCCTCTGCCTCTCTCTCTATCACATCCATTTTTCGTCTCTACTTCCATCATCTTCTTTCTCTTTATTTCCCTTCTGACCTTCCCTATTTTTAACTTTCCCAACCTTTCATATTTTATTGACCTACTTATCTCTTTTCTTATCACATAATGAAACCCGATGCTCCTAGAGAAACGAACTTGAATGCAAGACTTGTAAGTACCTTTACTTTACACTAATAATTTTTCAACTATTTAAATCATTATTCCAAAATAACTGGATGAGCGCAGACCTACGAGAATCGTCCTAAAAAGAAAGCCACTAGACAAATGTCTGTCAGGATGTCCTCTAAACTGATGGAGAAATAGCTTGTGTTACTTTTCCGATATAAATCACAACTTTCGTATTATTGAGAATTTTAGAAGAATGTTTGTAGGGTTTTCAACACATCAAAGTGAATTCGTTTTTTAATTAACTTTTATCGCTACAGATAATCTCAAATTAATGAGTAAAAATTATCTTTGTTGTTTTCTCGCCGGAAGTCGAACCCGCGTGCTTGGCTTTACGCACCATAACTCTACTACTTAACCACGAGAGACGACAGCAGCAAAAACGACGATCTTCCCTCACAACGTTGGTCAGGCTCGTCGAATTAATGTATAATTATTATTAACAATGAGAATTTTAGAAGAATTTTTGTTCATTTGAGGTTATCCGTAGTGGTAAAAATTAATTCACATTAATGTATTGAAAACCCTACAAAAATTCTTCTATAATTCTCATTTTAATAACGATTATACGTTGGTTCGACGATTCTGTAACTAAGGTAGTTAGGCAAAATCGTCGTTGTTGCTACCGTCGCCTTTCGTAGGTTAGTGGTAGAGCAATAGTGCACAAAGACAGGGACCCGAGTTCAATTCCTGGCGAGGGCGTGACAACAACAACAATGTTTTCTCATAAATTTGAGGTTATCTATAATGGTAAAAATTAATTCAAAAATTTGCTTCTTGATATTATTGTTAACAGATGGTCGGACTATCTAATTTGGTACTTTTGACGTCACATTAAATACTTTATTTGCATAATAGATGTTGAAAATATATGTCACTACTAGGAATAGGGATTTCCTTCTGTGATTTGTATTTTTATTTTCAGAAAAATACACGAAAAGATGTAAAACTGTAAATCCTTACAAAGCAGGTAAACGGTATTCATACGATTCCTACGAATGTTAAGGAATACTTCACGTATCAAATTACTTAAACCGTATAATGCCTATGTTAAAAATCATCTAAAAACCATAAGTCGTTTTGTAGTCTTCTTGAATTCGCCTAATAGTATTATGGACATTATTGAATGTGTCAAACAATAAAGCAATTTTTTCGTTTCGTATGTAGGTACATGTTTCAGTTTCGAGTTTCTGGGATTTCCTATTTCATCCCTAGCAACACCACACTATTTGAATTTATTCTCTTTTCAAGGTTTTGATATCAATTGTCGATATTTATTAATTGTCAAACAGTTTAGAAACTTTTCGGGCCTTTTGACAGTAGCATTGAAATTGCCAAAAAAAAAAACATCTTTTAGTTTAAACCAATAATAATCGTCAACCAAGGTTTTATCGCCTACTTTGTAAAGAAAGTTTTTGTAAAGTTTTTGCAACTGACGCTAATAGATAGGATCAAAATTCAAAGATTTAGCCATAAAATGACAGTAATAATTTGAATAAGTAACTCTTTTATCAAAAGTTTCGAAAAAACACGTTCCGCTAACTGGATTTTCGAAAGAATACTTAGAAGAGATTTGTCAAATTCTATTAACAGTTTTAAATTTTCATTGAAAGCCAATAAATAATTTGCAAAAATGTACAAAGCATGCAAAGACAGGCAAAAATTATTTTATAATTGTGCTTCGTAGATAGGATTGCTAAGTTATCAGTAGGTGATGAGATGAATAAATGTAATAATAATAAAAAATGGGCGACATAGTTTTGAGATTTAAACATTAAAAATTGTGTCTTGAAATGGTAATCTGCCACATTCTGGAAATCTGTATTAGTTTAAGACATTGAACTTACACTTTCAAGGACAAACACGGATGCGAACTGTATCAGTGGATTAGTTTATTAGGATGTGCTTGGTATTCAGGCATGAGGACAATATCACAACACAACATTTATTTACTTGAATAAGAAATTGTACATCATTTGAAGAGTCACTATCCCCCGTCGTTTTCACTTCTTTAATTTGTATCCTCTTTCGCTTTTCTGCTTCTCGATTTGATTCCTTAATTGCTTGCAGTCTCTTTGCTCTTGTTGCTAAGTCATCGTTCCTATCAAATACTGCTTTGTCTGCCTTGAGAACACTGTCAGACACTGTAACAAGCTTAGTGTAATTACAAAACATTTCTAGAACAAGAAAATAATTTACAGCATCTGACATTGCGTTTACTAATTCAGATTTCAAAATTAATAATTAATATTGTAAATATCCTCGATAAAAATCCATAACACTTACAGCTACTTGAGTTGAATAAAAGAGTGGCCAAGTACGAAAGTTACTTATTAAATTAAAATGCATTCAAGTAGGTAACAAGGAAATTATTCTCAATAAATTTCAGCTTCCTGCTTGGTGGTGTTTTAAAATAGTCCACCCGAATTTTCATTTAGGATGAAATGGTAATAACTTTTATACTAATCTACATTTATTGACAAGGTAAATATAAATGACTTACGACTGAACGAATTTCAGTTTTTCAATATTCAGTATTAGTAATAAAAGACGCATAATTATCCATTTTTAGTAATATATTTTCAAGGTAAACCTAATGCCATTATTCGATGATTGGAAAAATTATTCTTTTCAACAGTATTTCTTCGTAAGGGTACTATGTCATAAAACCAGAGTTTCAAGCAAGTTGCTTTTATAAGGATAACAACTGACTTCTAGTTTGGGCCTAACTTCTTTAATTTTGTCAAATAGACTTTTACAAGTAAAATACAAAATACCTGTACGATATGCTTTTATAGGCTGCTGCTTTCGTTTATGAAGAGTTAAACTAACAGTGGGAATATTAGCCTGAGCGTCTTCCTGTAACTGTACCAAATCCGGAGTGGAAATCCATGAAACTGATTCCTGAGCATTATTATTTTTTGACCTATCACTAGCTTTATCCCCTTCGTTGGATAAATTTGAGCTCGAAGCCCAACTTCTTTTATTTGTTTCTATTTTAGATGAATTCCATACATTTAAATTAGGAGTTGACGCTGTGGAATCATCTTTTTGGAAAATTTCTCCAGACTTCTTTTTGCCACCGTGTTCTTTGTAATCTCTGAAAATTTATATCCGTGAAGTTTAAATTTAGTAGCTACTTCAAAATTTGGGAATTTACCTGAAACATCGCTTGCATCTTGTTGGCCATCGCACCTGAGGATGAAATCCTAATGGGCAAAGCGGATCTCCCTTACTAAGTGGATAAATATGATGCATTTGGGAAATACTACTAAAAATAAAAATCCTTACTTTCATTTTTCGTAAAAGGGATCAACAAGTGCATGTACGTTTTATTTCAAAGCTGTTAACAATAGGTAAAAACCTCTAGAAATTAGTCTAACAAGCTGAAGCAACATAGAAAAAGATAAAATCGTTAATTTTATAGTAAGATAAGTATAAAATGGAATTAATAATAATAACCTTGCCGTAATTACAAGAAAATTAAACGGAATTTTCTGAAACTGAACACAGTCAGTCACTGAGGATAATGTTTTGAGTGTCGAGACGCTTAGAGGCCATTCATAAATTACGTAACACGAATTTCATGATTTTTTTAATCCTCCTTCGTCCTTGTCACAGCTGGTCACATTTATGAGACTCCCCCCTTCCTAGTGTAACGTCACATATTTTGCAATTTTTACCTCTAGAAATAATTGAATTCGTGTTTTAACACATAGATTTTGAATATTTTAAAAAGTGACGTCACGAAATTTAGGACCCCTCCCGTCCCCTTGTCACACAATGTCACACTTCGTCGACCCCCTCCCTCCCCCTTAACGTGTGACGTAATTTATGGATGGCCCCTTACCTATGTATTAGACTTCTAAATCACCTTATGTAAAATGTTAAGATGAAAAGATTAAGCTCAATACGTGTATTTGCCCATTGTGTGTACTCGGCAAAATTTTATCTAATTCATGAAATACATGTACTAAGCAATACAGAAATACATGAAATCATGCAAATTAAACAGGTAGGTTTTAAACTAATTAGGTCTGTTTATCATATAATACTTAACAACGTTTAGTGTGTTTAGTGTAAAAATGAATAGTGACATCTTATTAGAGTAGTAATAACAGAAAAGGAAGACAAATTTAAAATTGGTTAGAAAGAAATTCCCTGTAGTCGACCAAATTTCGAGTTTGAAATTAGGTGACATTCGTGATTAGGTATTACCAACGTTGGAACTAAACGATGCATATCAAAGAAGTTTTTTTAAAGTTCACATTCCTATATGCAAAATAAATAGTATAACCACGGCAATGCTCATTTGAAAGTGTTGTCTTTTCCTACTGTAACATTATGAGTCTAACCTAGTCCAACTTTAGGTGACTTGATTGCTTAGGTTACGGTAAGAAAAAACAACACACTCCTAGTGACTGGACCTTAAAAAAATACTTGATCGAAAAAGAAAAAGACGAAGTTATTGAAGCATAACTGAACTATTTGCCTATATTCAATGAAGCAGGCAAATGTTAGTGAAATAACTGCGTAATTCATGAAGTCGGGAACTCTTTTGCGTATATCTTGAATTAGACAAAATTATCTATCTATATAACGCAATAGGCCAACATTTTACTTTTTAAAAAACGGAAAATTAATTTTATGGTTTTAAGTTAAAACGCTTTTCTTTATTAACGAAATTAATACTATTGAGCCGTATGAGGTGGTGTTTCAAATATTTCAGTAAACTTAAAAATTTAAGGAAAGATACCCTTAGGTGTATTAGTTTTTTCACTAAAATCTTTATAAAATTTGACTACTTTATTTCGACCAAAGGGTCATTGTCAATGAGTACACAAAAAGGCCAAATCTAAGTATCAAAAAAGCTTTTGTGTGTTTCATTTCTACCAGTCACTGATCTTGGTGGGTGAGCAGGGACTTTGGGTTACACTTGCAGTAAGTGCACATCAGCCTCCTCTTAGGAATAGTGGTGGTTTCGGAGAGAGAAAGTTGAAACAAATGAAATGAAGACTGAAGAGAAGTGTGAGATTATTATCTGTGGAATATTGTTACTGTCCCAGCATTTTCTTAAATGACCCAAGGAAACCACAAAAACTAGGATCAAAGCGGACAAAGACTCGGAATACTAAGCAATGTTCTATAATTCATCACTGTTTTGTCAAAATTCGCCGTACAGTGGCTTCTTCAAGTGGAAGAAGTACTGTTAAGATTAGGAACAAATACTTATACGCTAAAAATAAGATGTAAAAGAAAAAGTTGTAGTAATAGTAAAACTTGAATAGAATCATAAATATTTTTTTGTTTGATTTTATTCAAACAACAAGCAAAAAAGTTGAGTTTAGTAAGACAGGTACTTAAGATTAAACAAAATTGTATTTTGTGAAAATGTTAGATAATCATCGCAAGCATTATGAACTCATAGTTGAAGGAACTGGACACGTGGACACGTAAAATCTTATTCCTCATTATGAGTTTTACTATATGAGTATTCATTAGCCTATTAAATTAAATCTAAGTACAAATGTTTGAAATAACGTTAACGAAATTAAAATTAACCCCAACAGGAGCAATGCGCCACCTGACTTCCCACGGCGCAATCAACACTTCTAGTCTAGTAGAGATCTCTCTATGTAATACGGATCACGTCTGCGTGTAAGTAAATCTGAGGAAATCAGCCACTAACCGAAATTGTACCTTGATTTAAAATTGAACTGGAGCGGTTAGTTCACTAAAAGAGCCTTTCTAATCATAGGTACTTTTACCTTAGTGGAATCAATCAAAAAAGTAAAATAAAACGAAAACTAATATTTCTGGGTACAGCCAACTCCCTTCAAGTGAAATTCACATTTAAACCATCATCAGCTATGATGGATTCCTCAGTGCGTTTCACATGTGGTTCGCGGATGAAATATTAGATACAAGATGTTTCTAATAATTTCTTTAAGTTCGATATGCGATATTACAAGCCTCAAAACCTCATAAGATAACATGTAACATATCAAATGAATCAAATTTAATTCAAGTTCGCGTTTTTCTCTGAAAATAATTTAAAGCTCTGTTGGGACACTGTACCTATATTTCACGAATTTTTTATTTTTTTCTGTTTTAGATTTTTCAAGGCAATAATTTATGATGTCAGTAGGAAATCCATTGGCCATTTAGAGATTTTTTTTATACCGACTATTAAAACCACCCTTAAACGTCTTATGTTTTATTGCATTGTGTCTCTGAATGTACCTATAGGTAGTCTTTAAATGAAACAAACGCAAAAAAAGAAGTAGACAAAAACATAAATTCTTCTAAGATTAAAGATAAAATATATAAGGATATTGGCAAAAGATTTCCGACGAATCGTTGATATTATTATGATCGTTGATATTATTATGATCGGGTTTGCGGGGTGGCACGGTGAATTCCCGCTTAGCCCTAGAGCAGTGTTTCCCAACCTTTTTTTCCTCGCGAACCAAAAGAAAGGTCCAAAAAAATTTGACGAACCCCCTATGTAGTCGTTAATGACAGGTAAAAAAAGCAATAAAATTTGATAGAATATATACTTTTTCATATTGCATAATAATTGAATCGTGAAATATTTAAATAAAACATTAATAAGACTAAAATGATGTAAATGTAGTAAATTGCCTTAATTTGATATTTATTTCCAATTGTATTGTAAAAAAAATATTACATAGAAGGGAAAACTGCTGCAATGATTTTAAATATAAAGCAGAACATGATACTAATCACATTGATAAAATGTTTTAAATATAAATAAATGTTTGTAATAAAAAGAGAATAGTATTTGATTACTTGAATAAGAGGAATAAATTTTAATGTATAAAATTGTTGATATATTTTGATATTGATGAAGTAATTTTGAAAAACAAATAAGGAAAAAAGAAACGAAAATATTGAAATTTATTATAGATTTCTTAACAAACAGGCATTTTATTGGCGTTTTAAAAAATCCGCCATTACAATATTATTTTCGCGAACCCCCTCTGCAAACACTGCGAACCCCCAGGGGTTCGCGAACCACCGGTTGGGAATCACTGCCCTAGAGTATAGGAGCACCTAAGGGATTTTTAATACTGAAATCAACTTTTCAAAAAAAAATTTTTTTAGATAACCTCTGCTAGCACACCCCGGCAGATAGATTTTTTATAAATTGTAGTAAAATCATTCGAATCAAAAGGGTCTTCAATAACATCAGCCCAATGGACATTCTCAAAAGATCCTAATTATTGGGATGTTGGGATTGCTTAAATAACGATTTTAAAGGTGAAAATTTCATAAAAATATCGGATTCTTGAGGTAGTTTGAATTGCTTTGCAAATGGATATCTCTAAATGATGATGATTATTATAAAAAAATGTTTATTTATGAGATCTTCTATTTGTTTATTAAAAAGTATTATAATGAAAATTGAGCTTTTATCCAATCTCCATTTCCATAGTAGGTTGATCGTAAGTCTGTGCCCCTCGAGGCTTTTATGTTTTATGGACTCAATGAGATAAAATTAAATTTTTGATATTTTTGCATTCTTCATGGGGTATTAAAAAGCATGAAATTTTTAGGAAATGTTTTTGCCAATAGCATTTGCAGAAAATAGATAATATATTGATAAGTCGCTTTAATAACGTGTCGGCCAAATAGTTATACCTAAAGGTGCCCATGGTTTATGGAATGTTCATTACAAAAAGATTTAATAAGTAAACATACATTCATACATGTATATAGGAGAGAGTACGGCAATGACATCCGTAGGAATATATTACTTTACTTTCGACTTATGGAATAGCGAAGTACAGATCAAATAAGAAGATTTCCAACATTCTCTATTACACACCAAAAGTTACTTTATCTTAAGAAATTAGGATCGTGTAGTGAATAATACATCATCCTGTCCTGAGTAGCAGATCAAATGAATTGTTTGAGCCTTGAACGAGCTCGTCACGATACCGCCTATATTATTCAGTTAAGTAGCACGCGGCAACTGTGCGCACTCTTCCGGTAGCCTATGTACCGCTCTCGTTTGCAACCATTTACTGGCATAAAGCCGCAAGTCGGTGAGCTGCATTCACCTCAGCTAATTAGTGTGTTTAATATACTTCGTTTACTTTCTGTAGCGATGTGACCTTCAATTTGACCGGCGCAAAGTAGAAAAGAACAGCACTAGGCCAGAAAAGGAGGGAGACAACTCTCGGCCAAAGTCTTAACCGGTGAGGAGCGTACAATCCGTACGGTACTGGACGGAAAAATTGACCA